CTCTGCTTCGATATCCATGTCCTTGCCACGAAAACGAACAATTGGCACTTTTGCGCAGATGTACTGTTCATCGCGAGCATTTGCGTAGTCTACTAGTGCTTTCGCCACTTCACGCATTACCAAATCCGGGCACACTCCACCTCCCACAGTAATCTTGCCTTTTGGTGGCCCACCAGGAAATGAGAGACTCAAGTCTACATCACACGAACAGGTGCCGAATCCGTTCAAGGTTGAGCCATAGATCTTAGAAAAAAGAATTTTTAGAATAACAAGATTTCAGAAGTCTCACAAATATTTTAACTGACATACCGCTAACATCACTCTTGTCCCAAAATAGTTGGAAAGATGAACTTCCAACTCTAACTTGAACCTCACAATCAAGTCATACTGACGTTCCGTAAACGAGTTGTCCTCTTAAAAAACCAGTGTTTTGCACAACAAACATTATAAGAAAGCTAGAGAGCTGATTCATAAATCAAAACACCTCTGTGCAGCTTCATCGCCTTACTTATCTCAATCACTCCCGTCTTGTTCTTATAGATATAAGGGCTGAATGCATCGAACATACTTCTGAAAAATTACATCAACTCGCACTGATTCTGAGGAAAAAAGGTTTGACTTTGACTTGGATACGTAGGCAAAGGCATATTGAAATTCATTTTCAAAAGGATGATTAGGACAAAGACTCAGCTGAAAATGTATTGATAGGGAAGGTTGTGTCAAACTCATTTCTTTTTTCTGTTTCTCCCTTCAAAAAAAATCTCTACACATATTTTCAATTAAAAACCCACTTGCTTACATATCTGGAACTAAACAAGGAGATACTCTGGGGTGGCGGTGACGTGACCAGTTATGATTTAACTACCACTTTACAACACGCAATTATTTTGCAAAAGGCAAAAATTCCAAAAATTTTGATATGGTAGGGCCTGCCGATACGATGATTAAACGTCTGAATAAAAAAAAGGAAAAGTTTCATAACATCATAAGTTGTCATTGTAACTCAGACTTAACCCGTATTTTCATTATACTTTCAAGAGCAAGCTAACTTAGAAGTTGAAAGTCTCCATAGTTCAT